AACTTAGTGCTCTGGTCGGGCCGAAAAAGTGTCGTTACTTCTCGGAAGGCTTTGCCACAGAATTATTTAGCATAGCAAGCCCGACGTCTCATAGTAAAATGTTATGGCAATACGGTTCGCAAACGGCCAACCGAAACGGTATGAAAACGCCGAATCTTTAGGAAGGGAAAATGGATCTGGCCAGCCCGTTGCTAAGAGGTCCTTAACAGATGCCCCGGATGTCATAACGCATCACATGAACCCATTAGGGATGCTTCACACTAGCGAAATGGAAACTGGTACGGGTGCGCCATCAAGTCTGCTCATGGCTATTTTTGTTTTCGCTAGAGCCATTCCGTCTCAGTTGGTCTGGGGTTGTTGCCTTGACAACAGTTGGTCTTAGGCTCGTCAGAGTTATCAATAATTGATGGTACAGAAGCCGAATCACACGGCGCAAGTTTAGATGGGAATCCTTTTATCTTCTCCTTCCTGAAATCTTCATATTATTATGATATCTAGACCGATGTAGGTCAAACAGTCTGATAAGTAGTCAGTGCAAAAGGAACAGAAATCCACAGTGAGTACGGCCAAATGAAGACCTTTAAGGGAATTTAAATGCTATCCATGATTGCATATTTAACAAATTTTGACACGAGTAGTTTTCGGTACTATTGATAATTATTGTATTAGAAATTTGTAAACCAAGGTCGCTTAGGGTGATTTAATGACTGATAGTTGATTTTTTCCTACGATTAGATGAATACATCTCACGATGCTAATGAATTTCCCTTATTCTCGTCTTCAAAAAGCACAGTTTAGTCAGGCTAGACTGCAGTTTCGGCTTCGTCTAAGTGGGATAAAAGTACGGTTTGTGAGTATCGTGGCAATTGTTGTCACTGGGACAAAGAACAGATGGTGCAGCTGAAACACAATAAAGATTGTATTACCGCGACGGTAGATTTATGGGAAGAAAACCTCAACAAACCATTCCGCGGCCCCGATTACTCCATGCTCAGCTTTCAACCGTCATGTGAAAGATATCATCAAAGCAGAAAATTATTCGTTATGATGATCCGCCAGAAACAGCTAAGCATAAGATGATTTATCTCAAAGCATGATTACATTGTCTGATGATGCTTGTCACATGAGAGAAAAAAGCTCAGCATTGTGTTATTTGGGTAGAAATTTGGTCAAATTTCCACGAATCTCCTCCTCCACCTTTCGGCGAGGTGAAGTTACTCATTTCCACTACTCGCCTCAATGCATGGTATTCAAAAATGTACTTGCTTAATAATGTTATTCAACTCCGATTTGAGTAGATTTCGATAGCTTCAATAATTATTGAATACGGTCCTTGCATCTAACCCCGGATCAACTGCAGAATCGACAGTCGAGGTGGTGATCTTGGCCAAATTATGCCAGTCCAACTTGCTTGAGCCTCTTGCTTCCTACTCTTTATTTCGTTTTTGGTAAAGGCTGTATGAAGCCATTTGTCAAGCTGTCCAGGCAAGCCTATCCGTTCACAATCAGTCAAGAACAATCATTAATCCAATACATCCTCCTCCTTCTCCGGATCATCATTAATATAAATACGATCCCAAACACCTCTATCGCTAGCGTCATTCCATCGGCATCATTACCGTCAGCGCCATCAGCATGATAATATCATCGTAAACATCTTTATCATCTTTATTACATTATCGTCATTGTAA